TATGTGTGTTGTTAGTTAAAATATGGACAAACAACCTGTTTTATAACAAATTTACACATATGTTCAGATAATTGAATTACACAGTCACTGTATGAAGATAATAATTAATGAATTATAATAATTAACATTTATATGAAAGTTAACCAGTCTGGGACAATCTTTCTTGTAGGATGAAGTATCTGTTGGAGAAATTCAGAATTAACTGCACTGACATCAATGTCGTCGATGACATCCATGTCAGACCCAGCTCTGACAGGTAACTACATTTTTTTCCTACTGTAATAGTGACAAGCAGACCAGATGGTGTGAGAGTAATAATGAAATTTTATCACCTCACAATGTAAAAATATTAAATGATTTAAATAAAAAGAATATTATCCACAGTCAGCTCATGTTCTTATCTACTTCCCTCCAGCTTGCAGGAGTTTGAGGACATGATTGAGATTTTCCGTCTGCATGAAGGGTCTAAAGACACTGCTGAGGCTGAGGCCATGCAGAAAGAGCAGCCCTGGAAAATCACTGACAAAGAACTGAACAACTTTGAGGAGAAGGTATAAGCACCGACGCTAAATTAAGATGTTATACACAGCATAGCCATAATAATGCATTAGTTTGGCTTGGATGTCGCGTGTTAAACAGTTCACACCGCTGTTTTACAGACCAACCTCCAGATACGGCTGAACGAGGTGCTTCAGAAAAACTCCAAATCAGCCAATCTGATCATTGTGTAAGTATAAGCACCTGTTGGCTGAATAACACTGAAAGTGTCCTGTGCAGTAAGAAACAGAGTCTAACATACTGTGCGTACCCTTACCCCCCTGCAGGAGCATGCCCATCGCTCGAAAGGAATCCGTCTCTGATTTCCTCTACATGGCCTGGCTGGACATTCTGACAAAGGACCTTCCACCAACACTGCTCATTAGAGGCAACCACAAGAGTGTGCTTACTTTCTACTCCTGAGCACCTTGCAGGCTGAACAGCAGAGTATTAGGTAACCAATTCTCATTTGAACATAAGAGTAGTAGAACAATTAACTGTTTGACTTGCAAACACATAATTACTAAGTAATAAATAGAAAAGTGTTCAGCTGCTGTACTTGACAATGAACTCAGTTTCTAGTTACAGCTGGAGCCTTATTTTACTATTAAGCTGTTTTTATTGCTTGGTCTGGTGTGAGCCGTTTCATGAAGGTTTGTGGTAGGCTGTGCAAGCTACAGCAAGCTTGCCAACAAGCGAATGTTTTCAGCGTGATGCTACACTGTGAGGCAAGTTAAACGTCTAACTGTTCTGCCGAGGGATAAGACCAGTCTCAATGAAGAGAAAGTATTTCTGACACAGAGTTCATAAATGCCAGGGTCTAAATGTGAATTTAGGAACAGGGGCTAAGTCTAAGCTCTTTGGATTTTTGGTTGGAACATAGCTAAATCATGTCTTCCTAACATGGTCAGATTAGTTGAGTACAAAGCTACTTCCAGTGGTTACACTGAGTGAATGTGTTGCCTGTTGCTGTGATTGTAAAATAAATGTATATGGTAGATGTCTGAATTCACTAGTGAATATTTTCTGAGCAATAATAAAAAATAAAAATAAAAACCTTTCATAAATGATTAACAGCATAATATTGGCATCATTACTATCAGTTCTTTTAAACTGTGGTAATAATGGTTTAATTTTTTTGTAAAAAAATTCTTGATATTGACTGACTATAAAATAAACTGTTATTATTACACTGTTTACCTGTTCCACATTATACTGTTTCAATATTTTTAATGTTACTATCACAGTACACTTTTTCTTTAAGGAAAATTTAGGGAAACAGAAGATTGTAAACCCAATTCTTCTGTATATTTTTAGCTTATTGTGCTTCTTTCTATTTAAATATATAATTGTGATTACCTGAAATAAAGAATGAATAAAATGTTGTGCTGTTTTTATTCTCGTCTCCATTGTTTATTTGGAGATTAGATATTATAACGTCAGATATTGCTATTATTAGTTTGTTAATTTTTAAATTGCTTGCAGTACTTGGAGTTAGTGGTCATATATGCACATTTTGAATATGAGCATTGAATGTGCATTCATCCTGAATGGCAATGCTGATTTATTGCCAATGGGGGGCAGCAATAAACTTAATTGCATCTATGACTCAGGATGTGACTTTTATCTCAAGTGATTATAACAATTGGAGGAGATAAAAATTAACTTGCTGCATATACAAATGGATTCTGCATGCTATTAGTCCATATTATGATTAGATTATATAATTTATAAGGAAATAATACAAGTGTTATCTCAGCCAAAAGGTATTTGTGTTTAGCAAACCTTCACATATCCATCCAGTGGTGAAAGAAGTATTATTTTACTTAAGTAAAAATAGCAACACCACAGTGTGTAAAAAAAAAAAAAAAAAAAAAAAATCTTTTACAAGTAAAACTCATGGATGTGTGGTAAAATGAAAAGCATTCATTCAAACATTTTAAGTAAAAGTACATTGGCATGTGGCAAATCTCTTCAAAACAATTTGAACAATTGAATTTCTCCTCAGTGTGTTACTTTGAGCTACTAAATTATTGCAGTAACCCCATAATCTACAGTAGCTGTGTAGAGTACCCCCTAACAGATCCCATCCAGATTTTGAATTGGATATAAAGCTTAAGATGTTTAACACACATTTTGGTTTAAGTAATTAAATTTTTATGGCCTCACAGCATCAGAGCCCCATTCATTGTTATAGAGCAAACTGGGATGACATTGTACATTTTAAGTTTCTCCCTTTGGTTTCCAACTTTAGAGGAGAGTGCTGAATGTTCAAAAATATTCACCAAAATGTTCTGGGGCACAGGAATAATAAATGTGAATTCTTAAAAAGGGTTGGGTTCTCCTGTAAATGCACAACCCATGATTATAATATAGTGTTTTATCCTCAAAGCATCTGATGCAGAAAAATAGATATTTATAGAAGCCCAGTGGGAACTTTAAGATGATCAATTCCATGATAGTGTAATTTTTCACACACGTGTTTCTAGGATTACACTGGACTTGACTCTATTAATATGAGCAAAGCAGGAGAAGCAGTCAGCAGGTTTCTTTTAAAGGTATTTAAGCTTTTGCTTGCAGTCGGTCAGGTGTGATTGGTTACAACTGAGTGCTTATATTTTTTACAAATGAATGAAAGTGTATACACAGGTAAAATTCTATCGTATTATCTTGAATAAAGCAACAAACACTTCTAAATCAAAATCAGTACATCAATATTTTCTCGCTCTAAATATATAACCATGTGAGAACAAACCAAGGGGATTAGATGTACTACTTAACAACAACAAAAAAACATGACTTGAGGAAATGTAATGAAATAAACTCACTCAACTCACTCAGGAACAAAGGTGAAATGATAGAGGGAACCAGCTCAGCTGAAGGGCAAACAGAGAATGAGTTCAGGACACAGAACAAAGAACACTCAAGGCACCTGTGTGAGCTGCCCAATCAGCACACCTGTTCTCCTGCTGCTCTTTATCCCAGCAAAGTGAAGCCAATTAAAAAGAAAATGCAGTAATCCCATTTGCATTTGCATTTCCACATACTCATGTGGGCATTCTATGAATTAAAAATGAAAACCTATTGACAATTAATTTTCAAAAATTGAACCTGCTCTACAGCGACAGTATTCAAATACAATGAGCAAACAGCGCTCTGTGTGACATCACTCACTCTAGCTGTGAACATTCCACCACATACACACTAATGTAAAACTTCAGAAACGATCATGAAACTTGAACTGTGACTGTGTAAAAACTATGAATGTGGTTTCTATGGAGGTAGATTTTGTCTCAATGTTATTTGTCTGAACAGATTGACAATCTGTGTGTAAATGTGTAACTCAACAGTAAAACAAACGACACCAGTCATCTCTTTACAGGTTGGATGGGTATGAAATGTGGCCTACTTACAATGTTTCTTCATCATCCAAAGACAGGAGATGAAAATGTATTGACAAGACAGGATTGAAGAAAAGAGGAGGAAAGGAGAGTAGATGTGGAGCAGATGTAAGAGAATAAGACATGCATTTACTATTTCTACATCTTCAGATCAGAAATATTAAAACTCTTTTCTTTATATATTTTCTTTGAGTGGAAGACATTTCCAGGAATGAATGAGTGGAGCTGAGAGAATGAAAGAAGAAAAAAAGAGGAGGAAATGAGAAATGATCAGGAGTAGATCAAAATAAAGTATCTATCTATCTATCTATCTATCTATCTATCTATCTATCTATCTATCTATCTTAATAAATAAATAAAATACTGCATGATAATACAGTACATGTCCATGTTGTTTATCATATGATGCTATTCCTTAAAGAATTTTAATATCATTGGAGTCAATGTTCTTCTGTTGGCCTCATATTCATTTCAGAGAAGTGAAGACATTTACTTGTCCTTGTTGTGGATCCATGACTGCCCAGTTAGAGCAGCACATATTATTATGGTCTGGATTAAAATGTAGATTTGTCATCCAAACTTTAAATCAGTGAACTTTACTCCTGCACAGTGTAACAAAAATAGGTATTGACATTAGTGATGCTGTTTATGGGAAATTCATTCCCCACCTATGTCATGTAAATTCAAATTAGTAGCATCAGACAATCTTTGACTCTTTTTCTGTGGCAGTAGTGAAAAATAGTCATTGTCAAAATCTGTTGTGTTGTGGTTTCAGAATGATGGAGACAGAGAACAATTAGATTCTAAATATGATGCAGGCTCTGGAGGATTTTTTTCCTGGGCAACTATCATGTTTACCTCAAATGATGTACAAATGGCTTAACACAGTAAATAATTCATATAGCTGCTGTGACTGGGGAAAAAATTCCACGGAGGAGCATGTCCCCTTGCCCTGGATGTAGGCTCAAGTTGGGACTAAGCCCCGGATGTTTGCTATGTCTGACTCCGCCCCTGTTTCTATCCAAAGAAATGCTTGTTCAAAGCACTGAAGTCAGCCAAGTCTGCTGAGGCGCTGCAGAGCTGCCGAGGACTGCACTAATGAGCTGTTAGCTTGGAGACAGCGTTAGCGACCAGTATGACACGAACGTTGCGGAGGCTGTGGGAGCTGCAGCTACAATGCTCTTCGATTTTTGAGGCCACGCGTATCTTAGGAAGGGAAATTCATATGCAGATGCCCACTCAATACAAAGGCAAGGAAGAAATTGCCTTCCTATTGCACTTGTCAAGCGCTTGTTGACATTGACTTTAGCTTTGCTAGCCTAGGCTAGCATTTTGTAACCTTTACTGACCGCTTTGGTTTTTGTGTCTTGTGCTCTCTGTTGTGTACCGACACCACCATTGCGTCTGTTATATCCAGTTGCAATGTGTGAGTGAGTGAGGCTTATTTTCCTTAAAATATTTTCCAATGCATCTGTTACATGTCTGTTGTTTACATCCGCAACTCACGCGAGAACTTGTTTAAAGGCAAACGTAGTGACTAAAGGGTTGCCATAGTTTCAAAGCATACTAAGTTTCTTGCTAATTTATTGATGAGAATATTTTTCTCTCACTGCATAGAGTAACACGTCTGTAGTGGTTTACAGTGCTGCAAGTCATCGGGATTGTCTTAGTTTTTAAAATAAAAAGCAAGATAAACTATCCCTTTAAGATGACGTGTTTTTGAGGAGGAGCTAATTTGGCGCTACCTCCAACGCGGGAAGTAGATTCGTTCAAATTCAGACGCGCCAAGAAACTGGGACAGAAGCTTGGGTTTTTTTAAACGTTGCATTAGTTAGCGCTAGTCCTGACTCCTGGTTAGTAATTAGGTAGTCTTTTCCATATAGATTATTCAGTGCACTTTCGGCTTTTAATTGTGAAAACTCTGCCAACATGCCCGCCCTAGAAGTAGCAGATGCTTCTGCAGTTTCTCCATCAAAGAAGGCAAGGATAGAAACAAAGCCTGCAGACGAAAGACCTGTCCTCAGGTTTGCTAAACTCTCAGAGTATGCCACGACACCTACCAGAGGCTCGACTAAAGCTGCAGGATATGACCTCTACAGGTTGGTAATACTTTGAATTAAAGTATTAATTGAATTGAATTGAATTAATTATATTTTTGCGCCATTTATGACTTAATGTGAGCAGCGTCTGTACGTTTTGAATACTGTGACCACATTTTCTTTCAACTAAGGTTAAATGACTCGATATAAATTGTGTTTGTGATATTCAATTTTAAATTTAACCTAAACCTAATTTAACCTACCCTTTTTTTTTACCTTTACTGTTACTACAGATCTGTAATATACTTACTTCCTGTCACTCAATATAGAAGCATAGTCAAATGAATATAACTCCATGAAAACCAGCCTTAATCTGCCTTAACCATAATTCTCTGAATTTGCACAGTGCATACGATTACACCATTGCTCCTATGGATAAGACCATTGTGAAGACAGACATCCAAATAGCAGTTCCACACGGCTGCTATGGGAGAGTGGGTGAGTGTTTGAGAACTTGGCTGATGCAACCATGCAGCTCTAGAAATTCAGGTTTTTCCTTCCGTGTCTGTAGACTATTGTTCAGTGCCTGTGAATTCAAGGCATGAGTTTCTGTTGGTGGATAATGTTTCATCATTTGCAGAACAGGCTATAACTGTCTCTTGCCATTTTTTACTTCTCAGCACCAAGATCTGGACTGGCAGCAAAACACTTTATTGATGTTGGCGGTGAGTTTTTACCTACAATGAGATTCCTTGTGAGCATGTGTAGTTTTAACCCTTGTCATGTTAGTCATTTTATTTTTTACTAATATCTTTATGTTCTCCTCAGCTGGAGTTGTTGATGAAGACTATAGAGGAAATGTGGGAGTTGTGCTCTTCAACTTCAGCAAGGACAAATTTGATGGTGAGTGATTCAGCTGGAAAATGGCAAATATCACGAAAAAGTCATGAAGGTACATGTAGCAGAATTAATTAGGTCATTGCATATGATACTAAAACTACATACATACTGAAACTCCCCAATGTGTAAATTATTCCCTACATTTAGAACACATTAGTGGCTAAAGGTAGAATTAACAAAAAAAAACATGTTTGATCTTCACATTCCTCATGTTTCGTTTCAATTCTAAACTGAGTGAGAATTAAAAATGGTAACATTTTGCCATCCACACTCTTTTTGAGTTTTATGATTGTCATGAAACTATTTGTACAGATGCCTCATGTATAATTCATTATTTCACATCCTTCTTCTCTTCCTCTTTGTCTTCTAGTGAAAAAGGGTGACCGAATTGCTCAGCTGGTGTGTGAGAGGATCTGCTACCCAGACCTGGTGGAGCAAGAGGTAAGAAACTCAATGCATAGATACTTATCTGTCTCAAATACTTGTGTAGACACTGTCACATGCTCCAATGACTGTGCTTTTTTTACTGCACTAGATTTTATCTCAGGTATGTATGTCATCAGAGTTAATCTAATAAATCATTGTCTTGCTGTCTTTCAGACTCTAGATGAGACGGAGCGTGGTGCTGGAGGCTTCGGATCAACCGGACACAACTGAAACCTACAAATATGAAACAAATATGATTGTTGTGTGACTGTATATGTTGAAAATATATAGATTAGGTGCTAATAAAGTTCTCGTTTTTGTAAGTTGGGTCTGATAGCCTTACTGGAAGAATCACCCACATGGTTTCAGCAAATGCTTTGAGCTCTGTTTGAAGTTCTTGTCTGACCCTCCACAAATGAAGAAAAAAAAAAATCTTCCAAATGTCCACATGGGGGCAGTGTAGGACAAGAATTGCATATCTAAACATGCAAGCTTGGCTCCATAACCAATTCCATTAGTGTAATGTGAGCCTCGCCAGCTAATACATTCAGAGATCATGTTGCATTTTACTTGAGAACACATGACTGAAGAGGGATGTCCAAAATGAAGCTAACGGCCGCTTGTTGAACTTGCTGCAACAGTAATTCAATCCAGATAAAGGTGAAAGCACAGCAGTAAATACATATACACCAAAAAATATGTTTTTATTGTGAATTTACATCTAAACCCTCACTGATGTGAACAGAGAACACAGACTGGTGTCAGGCTGGTCCGTGGCAATGCAGCACTGATTGTACTTGTGAGAGAATGTGTGGCCACGAAGACCTCAGTGCATAATCATGAAGGCCCAGGTTTGGCATCATCAAATGTGTGTCGTGTGTGCAGGTGTGTGTATGTATACACAGTTTACAAAGGAAGTAGTTGGTCATTATAAGCACCATTACAAACCCCTCTATTCCAGGGGCTTCCTCTAGTTTACAAATGCTTCATAGATTAAAAGTGGCATTGATTATTACAGTATAAACACAATTTACATGTAGTATAGAGGAGAGCAGACAGGCTATGAAGCTAGCTGTTACGGATGCAAAGACATGAAATCTTCGGAATGGCCGATGGGATTGTATCTTGGTGACTACTGAGTTTTGTATAGTAGTACAGTGCATTCAGAAGTCTATGTGGGTGTGTTGCTAGCACCAGTAAATATGAATTATTCTAGTCAGTAGGAAAGATGGAAAAGCATAGTTTAAATATGCAGTAGGAGTCATTCAAGCTCAGACATGGCTACAGCTCAATAGTCCATAGTGGGTTCCTTTCCTCTCCTAACTATTCTCATAATCTTTTTTTTTTTTTTCATCTTCACTCCATTAAATTAATATCTGGGGAAGGAGAAAAGTGTTAACTTCCATGTATCCAGGTTTGTTCAGTCATTTACCTGAGGGGAGGAAATGAATTTATTTCAGACTATTGGGACTCACCCTTTTCTTCCACCTAAGCTGAGTTGTAAAAAACTCAGCCTTTAGAGCTTTCTGCAGTCCACATGCCCTTCAAAATGGCACCTGATTCCACATATCATTATAGAACAATAAACCCTACAATTAAAAACCATTCACACTCTCAATAGTGCTTTACACATAGCTGACGCTGTGTGTCGGGGCAATATGTTCTTCATTTAACTGAACTCTTTCATAATGCTTCATTCAGCTGGTATTTTCCACAGAAACTGTATGTATGATATGTAGAATCATCTTTGGCAATCAAATGACACAGTCCCTACCCCCCCCACCCCCTTCTTGTCTCTTTGGTGGCGAGCCCTTCTCCATGTTGGAGCAAGTAGAAGTTGCCCCTAACCACTGACCCAGAGTCAGAGATGTTTGGCCTTTGTGGGGAGTGTGAGCCTGACACTGGATTAGCAGCTGCTGGCAACATCTGCCTGTCTCAGTCTTGTGATGGTTAATGGAGGATGATCTGCACCCTCATCTTCAGTATGTCTCCCAGCTGTCCTGTGAGGTAGTCTTTATCGTGCCAGTCCTCCAGCTCAGCCAGCTCCTTCTTCTTGTAGAGGGGCAGACTGCTGATCTGAAGGTAGTACGCCCCAGGGGGGAGGGCCTTCTTCTTGCTCAGGTGCAGGTAGCTGACACCCTCTCTCTGGTTGATCTTGAAGTAGCCTTCTTCGTTTCCATAATCGATGCTGTAGCGCACATGGTCGCTGAGGGTGGATAAGGCCGGAGTAAACTCAAGGATGTGGTCACGGTTGCTCAGGTCGCTGATGTTCAGGTGGAGCTGCAGGGTGTCCTCAATGTCCACACTGGCCAGACTTACCTCCTCCTTCTCAGTCAGCTACAGAGAGAAAACATGGTCCAACTGAACTTAGTGAATGGAAGATATCTGACCAACAGTACAGTGTGTTTTCTGACAGTCAAGAGAGACAAAAGGCGGAGGTGTGATAAAGAGAAATGAAACAGAAGGTTTCTAACATTTTAATATTGTTTATTTGTTCAGTTAACTGTAGAGGTTAGCTAACCCTAACCCAATTATACTTTTGGTAAATTTTAATTGCTACTGGGAAAATCCTTTAATTATTTATTATTTTGTTAACCTAAAAGCAGTAAAACTTAAGTTAAGTCCCATCAAGTTCTCCTAAAACTACAGACAGTAATGCACAAAGACAGACAGATTACCTGTATGTCTTCCAGAGGATCCTCTTGTGTTGAGTTGGTGCTGCGACGTTTGCGTCCCTTCTTCGGATAGCCATTGATCTTACATTCATAGCAGGCCTCAGGAGACAGAGAATTATCATCCACCTCACCTCCCTGTCCACCACTAGTAAAGCCCAGACCTGTCACACAGTGCCTGAAACAAAGACAAAGCCATCAGTGGACAAGAAACATCTACAGAGAAGCTTTCCCACATAGTCAGTCACTAACGTACCCTTGTCCTGCACGGAAGTATCCAGGTGGACATCCACAGAGATAGCCCCCGTCTGTGTTGGAACAGCCGAACTTGCAGGGATTCTGGCTGGTGGAACACTCATTGATGTCTGAGCAGCCTCCGCTGGTCTGCTCGTAGTTGAAGCCAGTGGGGCAGAGACAGCGGAAGCTCCCCAGGGTGTTGTGGCACGACGCTCCCCCGCAGATCTGGCTGTTCAAACACTCGTTCTCATCTGGGTCACCGGAAGGTCACAGGAAGCAAACAAACAAGAGGTCATTCCAGTTAAAGGACACAAACAATACTGGGAAAGTCTGCCATGTTGTTGCAAATTAAAAATACAGGTTTAATTAATAAGCTTGTTATTTTGGGGCATACAGAGAGTCACACAATTACTTTTCACATGTCTGCGCTATTTCTAATTATTTTAGGTACTTCAGATTTTGGCGTTGCACCACCCTCCTCTTTTCATTTGGTTTTTGGCTCTACTTCTATAGGTCACTTTGTCCTTTTAGAGTTAGATATATTCAGGGTCTCTCTTGTCACCTTCATAGTTTGTATTTTGTTTGTTTTTATTAATTAAGTGTGTATATATATAATTAACAAAATGTAGACGTTTTAGGTTTATAAGTAGGATACTGTGCATTTAGTTTCAACATAACATTTCCTTTTCTCATGACCTTACCACAGTAAGGGAAGGGTTGAAATTCCAGAGAAGAGGAAAAACATTTTGGACATATTTATATTTTAAGAGTGGCAGGAAAGAGGTGAAGGACAGATAAGTTGTTTTAAAAAGGTTCCAGGTCGGACTCCAGCCCAGAACATCAAGGCTGGATTGTACATACTTTGGCAACCAAGTCATCAAGATGCCCCAAAAGGAAATCATTTTTATATTTGCTGATAAAAAAGAACAGCAGTTTTACTCACCCACACACTGGTTCCATTGGTAGTGCTGCAGGTAGCCTTGTGGACAGCTGCACCTGTATCCGCCCACTAAGTTCTGACAGCCATGCTGACACCTGTGGTTACCATCACACTCATCCATATCTGTCAGAGACAAACAAACAAAAGCTACTGTGAGAGTCTGTTTTCTGTAATGAATCAGCTGATTGTGAGGTCAGTATCAGTTGTTTTCGGACCTTCACAGGTTTGTCCATTGGGATCTAATGAGAATCCTCTCTGGCAATCACAATTGAAGCTCCCTGGAGTGTTCTGGCAGACACCATTGGAGCCGCACAGATTGGGGTCTGTTGCACATTCATTGTTGTCTACACAGAGAGGAGAAAAGGTTCAGACAAGGGTAAAACCAGAAACATGATATTAGGGCTGATTACGACCCCGATTTGGATTTGCTGAGTCATTTTCAAATTTGCGGAGAGTGTCGACACGGGTCTCGGAAAATAGGGCAGGTCACCATGCACTGTTGGTACAAATAATCTCACAGTCTGCAGGCACTGGAGAATAAAATCTCTCACCTACTGATTCAATCTCAAACCAGAGGAGGTAATCATAAACATGAGTGAGTGTGAAAGCTCATTCTTGACCTTGTGAATAATAGTCTGACAAAATCATCTAAATTCAACACCCACTTGCTTGCTTTTCCTGGAAAAAGGTTTAAGTGAGCCTTGAGTTCGGATTATTTATCAACCAACACGAACATGTTTGACTGTTGTGATTGGAATTGATGCAAATCTGAACACGATCACGTACTTTATGCTCTTTAGGGACAAAGATCAAAGCGGAGAAAGATATAATCTCTAAATGTCAGTTATTAAATGTGTGATCCTGGATTTTCACTGTCATCTGAGTCTTCCAGCGCGCGTTCCCAGTTTTAGATCTCCATTTGGTCAAACTGTCAACATGTGGGACATAGTGCACAAAACCATAGAAGGAGTGTCTACTTTCCCTAAGCACTACCTGGCAATCCAAACATGGATTCCAAACACGTTTTTACTTTAAAGGAGGAATCGTTATCAGTGTGACTGAAAAACAGAAATGTAAAACATTATTATACTGGAAAAGGACACATACTTTTCAGCAGCAGCTTGAAAGAGCAGATGCATCGAAAGGAATGAGGCCTTACATACAGTATTTACAATATGCCTCCCTCAATAACAATATTTTTGGGCAGTAGTTACTGAGGAATGATAAGTGTTGTGTGTCACACCCATGTTTCTCCAACCTCCTAACTCTTGAACACATCCACACCTACTGTATGTCATTTGCCTGGAGCTACTCCTATAGTCAAAACTGAGGGTTCCCTGCCTCTGATTTGATGTGAGCTCATGGGAGCTGCTTTATGGTCTGGAAAAAAAAAAAAAAGAAGCTTGTGGTAGTCACAGCGATCCACTGCAATGTTCCATAACAAAGCATTGCTAAGCTGCCATGACTA